CGAGGGGGTGAGGTGGGGGGTTGAGAGATAGATTTGTGTGTCGTCGGCATAGAGGTGGTAGTTGAAGCCGTGAGAGTGTATGAGTTGGCCATGGGAGGAGGTGTAGATGGAGAAGAGAAGGGGCCCGAGGACAGAGCCTTGAGGGACCCCAACAGAGAGGGGGAGTGAGAGGGAGGTGGTGGCATTATAGGTAACGCTGAAAGAGCGTTGTGACAGGTAGGATGAGAGCCAGGAGAGAGCAGAATCTCTGAGGCCGAGGGAGTGTAGTTTTTTGAGGAGGAGGGGGTGGTCGACTGTGTCAAAGGCCGCAGAGAGGTCAAGGAGTAGGAGCACTGAATAGTGGCCATTAGCTTTGGCGGTTAGCAGCTCGTTGGAGAGTTTGAGTAAGGCAGTTTCGGTGGAGTGTAGGGGACGGAAGCCGGACTGTAGGGGATCGAGGAGGTTGTTGTCGTTGAGGTGAGAGCATAGGCGGGCGTAGACTAGGCGCTCGAGGAGTTTAGATGTAAATGGGAGCAGGGAGATGGGTCTGAGGTTGTTCGGGTCATTGGGGTCCAGGGAGGGCTTTTTAAGTATGGGGGTGATGTGTGCATGTTTCAGAGGGGAAGGGAAAGTGCCGGAGGAGAGCGAGAGATTGAAGATGTGGGTGAGGGAGCGTAGGATGGAGGGGGAGGGAGGTTGTAGGAGTTGTGAGGGGATAGGGTCAAGGGGGCAGGTGGTGAGGCGGGCATCAGAGAGGATCTTGGAGACTTCTTCGATGGTAGTAAGGTCAAAGGTGCGGAGTGTTGGGGGAGCTTCAGTATGAGGAATGTAGGGTGGGGTGGGAGAGGAGGTCAGAGCAGTGGTGGGGCCGTGGGAGAGGGGTGTAGAGGGGGTAGCTGAGTGAGCGGGAAGGGGGTTGGAGGGAGTTTGAGCAGCGACGAAATCCCTGTGGGTTATGTCGAGGGGGAGGGGGATGAGGGGGTAGCTGTGTGAGAGGGGACGGGTTGAGAAGGCGTGTGAGTTGCGGCAATGTCCTTGCGAATATAGTGTATCTTTGGTTCATCATTTTTCTGAGTACATTTAAAGACCTCAGTTTCTTTATTTGTACAAGAAGAACCTTGGATTCACAATATCCAGGTTGCACCAGACCGCTGTTCTGCTGAAACATCCCAAGGATGCCCCATTGCAGAGTGCAAGTTAAAAGCTACACCAATACAAGGGCCTGTGTCAACGGGCTTTGTTGGCATTGGATGGGTTTTGCATTCCTATACAACTCTATAGGAATGCAAGCCTGCTTGAAGAAGGTCAAATGCAGATTAGACATCTATCTGATGTCAAACTGCCATCAAACACAAGCCCAGGCCCTAAAGTTGGCTGTGCATGTCTAGGACCATCCTTATTGCAATCAGCAAAGCTGAGATTGAGAGCTGAAGTAGCTATTTGACAAATATGCCTACCACAGAGACTATAACTTTGTCAGCTTTCACATACCAAGCTTTGTTACCAACCCCCATCCCGTGTAGCATTGTTTCTGATTCCCTATCCCAGGAATCCTATGTTGGCATACAGTCATAAAGAAAATTAAAGTCATAGTAAATTGGACAATGATATGGAATAAGCCCCAGGGTATATTAAGCGTTTACCTCTAGTATAACTCTTGCCTGTTAATGGGTTATTAAAGCATTAATGCTTGAAATGGCAGAAATGGGGTTAAATAGCACCACAGCTCTTCTGAAATAAAAATACTAATGACAACAACCATTTTTTAACAAGCCCCACAAATTGTTTTATTCCATCAATTACTTTCCAAAGCAGAACACGCCAGAGGGTTCCACTGCAAGGTACATGATGAAGGAATAAAATAAAGCTAATTAGTAAAAAGGAAAAAAAAAAGTACATACACAGATATTTTGGTCTCACTGAATGAAGCAGTTCCCTTTCTCTATTATATATTTCCAACCTAGCAAAGATGGATTAGAGGAAATGTCCCCAGCCTGCAGTGTACATCATTACACAGCCGATACAGAGTGAATCCCTACCCCGAGTTCCCCAGGGGAGCATGTAAAAATGGTTCTGCCCTTCCCCCTTCGCCTCTGCTGATTTATACTGTACCAAGGAATGCCGCCCTTTGGAAGAATAATCTTTGGCAGCTGTAATGTGGGTGAAGATATAGACGGAGTGTAAGGGCCTCTCGCACCCTGCTTCTCTGGATATTGATGGACCTCTCACTAAGGAGCGAGGAGCAGGATTCACACTATCTATAACCCAATGCGTGTCATCTCCAGAGAAGGAAGTAAAGCTGTTCGGACTGTCCGGAGATAAATCTGTGCAGAGAACTAGGCTTGGCGCTCCTGGGAGTCACATGTGGAGCAGGAAGACATAGACTTAGAACTAAGAAAGTATTGGCAACAGCTACAGCGGGAACAAGTGCAGGATTCAAGAAGACATATCAAAGACACTAAGCCAAACACAATAAAAAAAAGGCACTCTAATGTCTAAGGGACATAAAATCTGTCTTGAGCCATAACAAAAACTGTAAGACGTCTAAAGCCAACAATGCACCGTGAAAGCGGTTTACTTGCCATTCAAATAACTGCTGCTTAGTTGTCATGATAAACAGGTTTACAGTTTTGTAAACATATGTTGTATATTACTTGTATTTTTTACAAAGCTACAAAATGAAAGTGGTATTAAACCCAAAAACAAACATTTATTATATTGCAGCTTTGATTTCCTTTTTTTTAGGTTTTTTTCCTTTATTTGCACCTGCTGATCCTAACAGTAAGTCTGTTATTTTCTCAAATTCCTGTAACAGACCAAGCTATCTAGCAAAATTGGCAGTTACAGGGTTGAGACAAACCATTTAACTCTTACGAAGATGGTTACATCTCTGCTTAAAAATTGTTAGCTGGAGTTTGGTTTCAGTTTGGTAGTCAAGTTCTAAATCTGCTGGTGCATCTAACACTCCGCTCTCCCCTTAATGACAATATTACTGTCGAAGGGTGGCTCACTTGCTCTTCCATCCATAGTGTAGACACCCTAGAACAGAAATGGGCTTATTTACTAAAGCTGGAGAGTATAAAATCAGGCTCACTTCTGCATATAAACCAATCAGCTTCCAGGTTTTCTTGCCAAAACGTAATTGAACAAGCTGAGGTTAGAAGCCGATTGGTTTCTGTGCAGAAGTAAGACTGATTTTCCACTTTCCAGCTTTAGTATATAAACTCCAAAGTGTCCATCAAATAAAGAAAAAAAGCCTACAAAAGAAAACAAATGGAGCCATCACATTTAAGGATTGGTTAGCTGCAATATATTACTTTTTTGATTTTTGTGTTTAATACCACTTTAGGATGCGGTGGGTATCTCACATCTGTCCTCATGAATTAGTAGAGTAAATCATCTACTATAGCAGGTGTCATGCCTGCCTTTCTGACCACTTGTCACATCGTACATTTCTTACAATCAGGAAATCTGTCAAAGGTTGCCTAGTTTACATGATTTTTACTGAATGTCTTCTATGAAAAAAGATTTTCTAAATATTATTGTGTCATACTTAGTGACTTATCAGTTTGCCTCACAGGTTACATCAAGGCTGAACAAATCCGTATTGGTAAATTGTCCTGGAAAAGTATGCTGGCAACCACTGTTTTGAGTCCAGGGCTGGGCGACTGGTATAGCTAATTACTATAAAGCTGTACTGTAGGAAAACAACTAAATACACAGCTGAAATAGATATATAGGAGCTATCTTATCCACCAAAGGATTTGTATTTCAGTTGACCCAGTTCTAATATTTTACACAGCCCTGCCAGACAGCACAGCAAGCCTGGTGTCCTGACTTTTTCCAGCTGATGAACATGATTCATCTCCTCCCTTTCCTGTTGTCCAGGGTGGTCCTCAATTCACATACTCAGCTGCCCAGTGAATCCAGCGCTATGTGCCCTGTCCTGTGCCCCCAGCTCTGTTCCTGAAATCACTGGGTGCCAGGTGCCTCTTTCTATTTCAGGAAGCCGGTCCCCTGATGAAGAGCACAGGGCCTACCCTCTTCCAACTACTGTGAATAGAAAGTGAAGCATCCTGGGATAGGCGACATACTTATTTCAGGGGGCACAGAGGAGATGTCATTCCATTCTCGCCTAGGTGAGAATGGTGGCCAATGGAAGGAGGTGTTGGGGGTCAGGACGACCAAAAAATAAACAAAACCAGGTAGACCAAGGAAAAAAACAGAATTTTTTACAGTATGTGTGTATGGGGTCGAAGCAATGATGCCCAGTGCATTGAGGAGGTGAAGGTCCACTTTAGCAAACCTTCCTGTTCCCAGCCTGTGAGTAGTCAGCGAAGAAGCTGGAACAGACTGGTGAGGTCATCTTTCTGCTCTTTTCTCTTGTCACATGTAAATGCATGACACCTAATTTGTACCAAGTGCTGCCCTTCCTTCTCTTAGTCTGAGCACTGCTATGAAGGGGATTAGAAGAGGCTAAAATCTAATTAACTCGGGTATCTACGCAAGTTGCATTTGCTGGCAATTGAAAACCCAACCCCAGGAAAAATTTAAATACTGCATTGTGGCTCAACTACCTCCTCAGTCTTGATCCCTTCTTCTCCCTCATTTTGGCACAGCTAGCAAGGGATCATCTCCCCTCCGCTAGCAGTCACAATTTTAACAGCTAGCCTACAGTGCACTTATACCCCCTTCCTGTCCAGGGCAATTTCCAGCATTCAGCGCTGTCACACGTTGAATGACAATTGCGCGGTCATGCAACATTGTACCCATATGACATTTTTATCATTTTTTTGTGACAGATAGAGCTTTATGTTGGTGGTATTTAATCACCTCTGGGGTTTTTTTCCTTAAAAAACAACAAAAACCACTGAAAATTTTGAAAAAAAAAAAAAAAAGTTTTCTCCTAGTTTTTGGTATAAAATTTTGTAAATAAGTGATTTTTCTCCTTCACTGATGTGCGCAAATGAGGCTGCAGTGATGGGTACTGATAGGCTGCACTGATGGACACTGATTGGTGGCACTGATGAGGAGGCACTGGTAGGTGGCACTGATGGGCATTGACATGCATCACTGATGGGAACTGAAAGGCAGCACTCATATATGGCACTGATAGGCAGCACTGACTGGCACTGATAGGCGGCACTGTCTGGCACTGTTAGATGACACTGACTGGCACTGATAGGCGGCACTGATGCACACTGATAGGCGGCACTGATGCACACTGATAGGTGGCACTGACTGGCACTGATAGGTGGCACTGATTGGCAGCACTGATAGGTGGCACTGACTGGCATTGATAGGTGGCACTGATGCGTGACACTGAAAGGTAGCTCAGATGGGCACGGATATGTGGCATTTATGTGCACTGGTAGGCACTGAAATGTGGCACTGGCAGGTGGCATGGATGAGCACTGACAGCTGGCACTGATGGACACTGACAGGTGGCACTGCTGGGGCTACACAAATCATCAGGGCACACTGATCATCAGTGCTCTGATGATCTGTGTACATGTCCCCTCCGAGGAATGCCGATTACCGACTCTCCTCTCCTCTCCTCACGGGCAGTCAGCGTGACAGCTCGAGAGGAGAGAAATGCCGATAACCGGCATTTTTTTTCCCTGTTTACATGTGATCAGCTGTGATTGGACACAGCTGATCACATGACTGAGCCAACATCTTCGGCTCTTTCCGTGGATCGGTGATCCGCTGTGTCCGAGGGACACAGCGCACCGCCGATCGCCGCGTGGTCCTGGAGCCGCACATGCGTGGTTAGAATGGGAGGACGTCATACGATGTCCTCCCAGAATGAGAGAACTGCCCTGCGCCCATCATTGTACAATATGGCGGGCGGGAGGCGGTTAAAAAAATGTGGCTCGGCTGCGTGACTCATTCACAGTATTCTGTGAGTGGGAAAACTTCACATTCCAACAGCTTTTGTGGTTGTCGGCTTGTAGTTCTCAATGAACTACCATCGTACTATGGAGCGCTGTAATAGTTCATTGATTCTTTCTGTCAGAGTGTATCTGCTTGCCAATACGAGGTATGAGCACACAGATACATTGACAGGTCTGCAGGAGTCTAGCATGGCACGGGTGATCTGCTGATCGCTGGTGCAATGCATTATAGGCTCCCAAGTAAAAAAAAATTGTAAATGCACATTTTTTACCTCCAAAAAATGTGTATTTATTATTTTTTTGTAAAAAGGTGAACTTATAATTTAATAAGCCATCCTGAAGTGCAATGGATCAAAATCACAGTTTCCTCTATGAGCTAATTTCCTGCTCTGGGGACCAGACATTACCATCTGCTGGTTATCTTCTTGGGCACTGGTCCCCTTCCCCGTGAGTTCTGCCTCTGGAACCTATGAGAAAGGACTGGAAATGTTGCATCCACCAATAGGACATATGCACTTCATGTAGGCAGTGATGTGGCCACCCAAAGAAGGACCACAGTAAGTAAACAGAAGAAGAGAGGGTCACCATCACTTTAGGCCTCATGCACACTGGACATTTTTTAAACTGCTGTTAGGGGCATCTAGCATTTTTTAGTCTGCCTCTAAACGGCCCTTCATGTTAGCCATTGGGGTTGATTTACTAAAACTGGAGAGTGCAAAATCTGATGCAGCCCTGCCTAGCAACCAATCAGCTTCTAGGTGGTTTTTTTTTGTCAAAGCTTAATTAAACAAGCTAAAGTGAGTGGCTGCACCAGATTTTGCACTCTCCAGTTTTAGTAAATCAACCCCTGTATGTCCATGCACACATAGGCATTTAGGGGAGTCTAGAAGCAGGGGAAGAGGCAGAATAAAATCCCACTACGTGTCCAGGAGTAGCAGTTAACAAGCATTGGTGCATTTAGTGCTTGAGCATTAATTCATTTTAACGGCAAGAATAATAACATTCTGGCCAATGAAATGAATTCATGCCCAAGAACTTTGCGTGATTAAACACATTATGTGCGTTTACAAGCTTCAAGCATTTTTTTTCTGCCAAAACACTGCTAACAGGAGAAAAGGCATCTAGAAGAGATGACCAAATGTCCAATGTGCATGAGGCTTACAGTAATCACAGGCAGGAGTGTATTTACCACAAGGCATTTGCCTAGGGGCAGCATTTTTCAGGGGGGGGCAGCAGCATTTTTCAGAGGGACAGTGCTGTCTCCTGAAAGAAGGAAAGGAAGAAGGGACACATGCATCACAGGGACCAGGTGGGATCTGAGAGAGGCTGCTGGCTGCTTGATGGTGTATGCAGAGCCTGACTCTTGTTCCCGGGGATGTCCGGATCTGTGAAGGTGAGTGTCTTATCTCTTGCCAGGGGGGGGGGGGTGGGGGGGTTGACAGTGTATGGGGGGCAGTGGTAGTGGAAGGCTCTCTATGGTGAGGGTGGGTGGGTGGGGGGGGGGGCTGGGGTGTTGTTGGTCAATGTCAGGCTCTCTTCGTGGGGGGTGTTGGTGTCAGGGTCTCTCTGAGCCAATTTTTGTGTTGCCTAGGGCAGCACAAAATCTAAATACACCACTGATCACAGGGAATAGTCAAGTTACATCTCGGCTGCTATAAACTCCAGGACTTGATCCACTGCTGGATTCTATGGAGGAAGAGAGGGTTCTGCAAATATCAGTGTTGGCAGGAAATGGCCAGATTGCCTTGTACTTTAGATTAGGAAGTGCAGGAAGAGGGATCAGAGCAGTGCCCAGGAGGTGAGGGGGATGGGTGACCAGCAGCATAGGGCTCCTTTCACACTGCACTGTCATTCAGCAGAATATAGAGGAGTCGTCCTGGGAAGGTGACTTGTTGATCCACAAGCTTTTGAGAATTAAAGCTGACCTTTCACCATTCATTTGACTTTGTCAGTCCTTCCTTTGTCTCTATCACACTCTTGCTAAGACATGTACTGTTTTGTGACCACTTAATAATTTAATATTGCTCAGATGCAAAAATTAATGTTATAGCTAACCCTTCAATTAAAGTTTTTTTAAATAAAGATTTTACAAAAAATAATAAATAAGTAAAACATGAGAACAAAAATATGCAAGTAAAAAATTTAAAATGACCAAAATCATTAGGTTTTGCTAAAATAAAAATGATCTAGTGGCCAGCGGCCCTGGTATCAGTCAGGTATTTATTTCCTCTCAAAGAGATTTCAGTATTCCTCCTGAAAATGCCTTCATTGGTCTTCTTTCCTTGCAAGGCCACGCTTCATGCACATGAGTCTTTTCATGTACATTTAGGCAGAGGTAAACCTAGTATAAGTTGAATGCCAGTTAAAGAGATGGGTCACTAACAAGTACTGTAAACACAGAGGGGCAGCTGTACATGGCAACCAATCAGCTTCCATCTTCAGCAGTTAAAAGAGAAGTATGGACATTTTCCCCCCCAATTATACTTACCTAGGTGAATGCAGTATTGGTCTCATGCTGCATCTGTTCCCCACCGACTCTAACGGTGAGAACTCAGCAATCACAAGACCCTTGATCACTGAGTTCTCACAGCCACTCTGAGCAGAGAGCGGGACTGTCAGTCACCACTGTCTGCTCTGCCCCCCCCCCCCCAGAGCTCAATGGGGCGTTGGGCTGTGGAGAGGGGAGGGAGCGGCTGGCTCATGCTCTCAGCGGCTTGCTGAGAGGCTGAGCCAGGTGGCGCTCCAGACTCTGGGGTGGATCCCGACTTTAAAGTCGGGATCTTGCCCCAGCCTGGATTGGCTGAGTGACATCATCCGATAAGCTGAAAATGGGTCACATGAGTGCAGAATTAATTTCACTACTGGGATCCATAGAAGTACAACGAAAAGAGCTTAGACTGTACTTCTCCTTTAAGCATTCAAAATTACAGACACAAGTTAATTGGTTGCTATACACCACTGCTCCAGATTCTGTCTGCTCTGGTTTTGATAAATTCAGCTCAATGGCCTTTACATGGTCAAAGGGACAATACAGGTTAAAAAAAACCTCAATTCAACCTGAACACAGCTTGCATTATTTCTGGTCATGGTCTATAGGGTTTTCTTCTCTGTGGCCATATGGACAGCATGCAATTTTACAATAGACGTTAATGACCCCTCACCTGACATTCAGCTGAGGTTAGAGAAGTCTCAGTTAAACTATATACCACAAGTCAGCCACATGGGAAACGCCTTAGAGCACAAGTCCTCAAAAAGCCGTGAAGGTAGTGTGCAATCAAGATTCAGAGGTTTAGAATCAGTGAATGTGGTCCAGGCTCAGCCACACTGTGATAACTGGACAATGGACATCCTGCACAGTGTTAACAGAATACTGACCAGAGGTTTCTACTGAAAACAATGTAGTATCAGATGTACTGATCATAAGGAAAATGCATTGTCTGCTGATATTGCTTTAGTTCTAAGAGCCTGTTCAGATATACTCTGCTCCGTGTTCCCAAGGCAATGGTTTTCACTTACCAGAAGAGAGACAGAGGACACAATCCAGCTACATAGATAACTGCACTGAGTCTTTTCAGATGAGCGGTATATTGGAGCCTGCGTGCAACAGGCCTTGAAGAAGAGTAAAAATCACATTATGCTACACTTTTTCCTGACACTTTTCTGCAGTCCATGTTTATGTCATATCATAGCTCATGAGTACAGATCATTCATCAGCACAGAGGGAACTACTAACCCTCCAAGCTGCCCTCCCCTGACCTTGGATGGTCCCTGTTTTGTGAGTAAAAATGCAAAAAAAAAGGGAAAGCTGAGTTCCCCCTTGATTTTCCTTGCTAGTATTTACTTATTGAAGAAAAAGTGTACAAACGGGGGAATTCAATAAAGCACTCCCGACAGTTTTCTGGCGCTCTAAAAGGCCTGCACCAGTTTCAGAAATACCTACCACCCATTTCAGTAGCCTTGCAGACATGTGCAGCAGATTCCTGTATTGCTTAATAGCGCCAATTTTACAAAGTGGGGCTATTAATGCAGCAAATTCAAACATAATTACCTCCAGTTTAACAATAACTAAACTGGAGGTAATTAAGACTAGGCCTAACTTGGAGTACAGAGAGAGGCAGAGTGCCTGTCCCTGTACACAGTTTAGCAGAGCACTATCTTCCTGTCACTGATTGTTAAGAATGCCTCCTAGCAACCAGTGACGCTGCAGCGAGTGGAGTCTGATGGGGGAGCTACTAAATTCTCTCAATCGACGTTAACTATTTTTAACCCTAAGGCCCCATATACATGGGACACTTCTGAATGATGGAAACCGACTGCTGGAAAACATAGGTTAAAAAAGGTCTGTTTAGCCGCGTTTGCATAATGCATTTATGTCTGTTTAAGCACGTTTGCGTTTAGAAGCGTTTTTTAAAGACAAGCGCAAGAGAACCTCCCAAATGCCCAGAATGCACTGAAAAGTGGTAAATTATTAACTATTTCAGACTGTTTCAGAGGAATACAGAGAGTAGAAGCAGAGACAGAAGTATGTGTTGAGATTAGCTTAGGTGTGATTTGCTCATTAACATTTCTTTTGTTTCCAAGGGTGGGACAGGTGTCTGGGGAAGTGAGTCATTAAGGTCACCTGAAAGGGGGTCTTAATGTCCATTCACACCTCAAATTCCTCATGAACATATCTTTTGTTTTCAAGGGTGGGAGAGGTCTAAGGTGTAAATTGGTCATTCCAATGTGTGACAAGCTTGGTAGGAACATCCTGTTTTCAGTGTTTTGTTCATCTGAGTACCTTGAAAATGCTTTGCATGCATTTTTCATGATGAAAAAAGGCTCTGGACAGCATCGGGAACTGCAAGAGTTAAAAAAAATTTCAGACGCAAACGCTTATAAATGCGATTTGCCGCGTTTAGCCA